CTGCTGCTGCTGTTTGCTGGTTGCCGCTGCTGTCGTGGCTGGTGTTGTTTGCCCTATTGCGGTTATGTCAGTGAGTGTGTGCGTGTGTGTGCGCGCGGGAGTGCGTGAGTGCGCGAACGTGAGCGCGCGCGCGCGCGTGAGTGTGCGAGTGTGCGCGTGCGTGTGTGTGCGTGTGTGTTTGCGCGTGCGCGTGCGTGCGTGCGTGCGTGTGTGTGTGTGTGTGTGTTTGCGTGTGTGTGTGTGTGCGTGTGTGTGTGTGTGTTGTGTGTGTTGTGTGTGTTGTGTGTGTGTGTGTATGTGTGTGTGTGTGTGTGTGTGTGTTAGCGCGTTTGTGCTTGCGCGTTTGCGCGCGCGTGCGCGCGGCCGCCAGGTGTCGGGGCTCAGCGCTGGATCCTCGGATCGAGGGCCCAGGATCCGGGGGCCCAAGCTTGGCGATCTTCGGATCAAGACCATGACCTCGGGCCCTCGATCCGTGGATGGGGGGTCGAGCCTGCTCGATGGCTGTCTGGGCCCGAGGACGGCGACGAGGGAGATCGACAATCGCCGAGGCTCGACCCCCGAGCTTCGGATGTTGAGCCCGAGATCTTCGAGTCCAAGTTTGGCGCCCTTCGGATCTAGGATCCAAGGCGCTCAGAGATGTTTGGATCCAAGATTTCGGATCCTCGGGCCACCTCGGTGGCGGTCTGAGCGCCCGAGGACAGCGAGGGGGGCGAACGGCCATCGCCGAGGCTCGATCCTCGATTCTCGGATGTCGAACCCGAGATCTTCGAGCCCCAAGTTTGGCGACCCTCGGATCTAGGATCCGAGATGCTCGCAGCTGCTCAAGACTCAGATCTTGGATCCTCGATCCAAGGATGAAGGATCGAGCCTGCATGATGGCAGTCTGGGCCCGAGGACGGGGACGAGGGAGCTCGACAGTCGCTGAGGCTCGATCCTCGAGCCTCGGATGTCGTTCCCGAGATCTTCGAGTCCAAGCTTGGTTATCTTCGGATCTAGGGTCCAAGGCGCTCAGGGATCCTCGGGGCCAAGATCCCGGATCCTCGGTCCGAGGATGGAGGGTCGAGCCTCCTTGGCGGCGGTCTGCGCGCCCGAGGACAGCAAGGGGGGCGATCTACTATCGCCGAGGCTCGACGCTCGATCCTCGGATCGCGAACCCGAGATCTTTGATTCCAGGCGCGGCGATCCTCGGCCCTAGGATCCAAGGCGCTCGAGGATGCTCGGGAGCAAGATCTCGGATGCTCGATCCGAGGATCGAGCCTCCTTGATGGCGGCCTGGACCTGGCGACGGTGACGATCGACGATCGCAGAGGATCGATCCTCGATCCTCGGGTCGCGAACCCGATATCTTCGAGTCCGAGCCTGGCGATCCTCGGATCTAGGATCCAAGGTTCTCGAAGATGCTCGGACTCAGATCTCGGGTCCTCGATCCGAGGATGGGGGATCGATCCTGTTTGATTGCTCGACGCTTGATCGAGGATCGCTCGGCGAGAGGGCGGGAGTAGTACCCCGCAGCTTGGAGCGCCACTCGCGCGTGCTCGAACGCTCGCTTGGAGCTTGAAAAGCAGATGGGGCTCGAGCGCGTGCCTCGAGACGCTCGCGCGGCACCCTCGTGGCGAAAAGCACGGGGGCGCTTGGCTCGGGGCGCTCGCGCGCCAGGCTCTCGGGCGCCCACGAGCATGAACTTGTCGGCGTCTGGCTCGACCTTCGCGTCGGCCTGGCTCCTCTCGGGCTCGCGCTGGTTGGTGATCCTGTCTTAGTCGGTGTGGATCTTGGCGAACCTGTCGAAATCTAGCTTGATGTGCTGGTTGAGAAGCGCCGGCTTGATGTCCTGCCGCTTGACGGCGCTCGCGCAGTCAAGCTTGGGGCGCTTGTCCTGGTAGCTCTCCCTGGAGCTCGCGCGCCATGTCGGCGATCCTCTTCGCTCCAGCACCACTTGACGACCGCTTGCGCGGAGGCCTTGGCGGCGTCTGGGCCCGACGTCACGCCTTTCTCGCCGCGCCATGTGACGACCTGCTTGGCCTTGCTCGGGATCAACTCGAAGAGCAGCTCGGAGTTCACGCCGAAGGACTCTGCGTTCCACTTCTCGACGGGCTCGGACTTCTTGTTGATCGGCAGCACGAGGTCGTGGGGGTGGAGGAGTTCGGCGGGGATGTCCGGATGGGCCTTGCCGACGCGCTCGATGTAGGAGCCGTGGATGATGGGTGAGGCGCCAGGCATTCTCGGCGCCGGTCTCGATGTCCTTCTTCTTGCAAAGCTCGTGCATCTTGGCCTTGAAGGTCGGCATGAGCCAGAAGAGGTTATTGGGCTGCCTTCCGCGATTCTTGAAGATGTCGTAGACGTGCCCGTCATTCTCGCAGTAGGTGTTGTAGAACAACGCCACGGCCAGCTCGATGCGCCTCTTGTCCTTTTCGTTGAAGATGTGCCCGTGCTCGATGCTCTTGGGGGTTGCAGGCCATCTCGAGGGCGGCTATGTGGGCGCTGCTTGACCATGGGGCGCTCTCGGCCTTGAAATAGCAGGCCGTCATCCTTGCTGCATCAGCGCCTTGCGCGCTCGATTGGCATTGTCCCATCTCGGCAATCGCGATCTTGCCCGCGATGAGCGCGAGCTTGTCGAGGATCTTCTTGTTCGGCTTGGCCATGCGCTCGGGGATCTCGTTCGAGATCGGGCTGTCGCTCTGGGCCGCGACCTGCCTGAGGGCCTCGACGGGGAGTCTCGCCGCCACGGCGCGCTCGGCGGCCTGGCTCATGGCTCTGGCTCGCGACGAACTCAGGGGCAACGATGCGGGGGATAGGCGCTGGAGGAGGAATATCGACTTGGGATCGGCGATGCATCGGCGATGCGCGCCAAATCGTGAACCCGCACGTTCCTGGGCAGGTTCGGCATGCCTATCCCCCCCTATCGCTGCCCCTGGGGCGAAGAGGCTCGGCGCCTTGAAAAGGCTCGGAAGCTTGGGGTCTCGAGGACTCGGGGAAACTCGGGCCTGGGCAGCTGCGGGGGTAGAGGAGGAGGGGGGGAAGGAGGATGGGGGAGGAGGAAAACCCATGAGCCGTGTGAGGGATGGGCAAAACAAAAGTACTAACTCCAATGATTTGCTTGCTCGAAAAACGCATGTACACTCAAATTCCAATCGATCCCTATGGCATTGCCACACGTTCCGGATTCGGGAGCGGCTGAGACAGTAATAATCCCATGGCCCTGCCGCACGTTCGTGACTTGGGCAAACTGAGCTGGTGAGAATTCCACCGCCCTACCACACGCTCGTGATTGCGGAAATTGACGTGGTGAGTTCACCATGGCCATGCTCAGCATTTTCGATGCTGTTGCGAGTCAGCATGATATGATAGCAACCTCGATTCGCAATTTCCCCCGTGGATTATAAAGTTCGGCCACCGCGCCCTTCTCCAGAGACCCGCAAGGGGGTGGTATGTTTTATTATCGTCCGTGCGCGGTTATTCTTCTCTCATCCTCCCACACCGTTCTCTTTCATCCTTCCTTCTCCTCCCTCCCCTCTCCTCCCTCCTTCCCCCTTCCCTCGGCTCCCCCCATCATGATGATGCCTTTGGCCCCCCCCCCCAATGCGCGATGACCCCCCCTGCGGGCGTGGTGTGGTGGAACGCCCTCCCTTGTGGGCATGGCGGTGCCAGTGCCGGTACCGTCGTCGTCGTGTTGGTGCCGTTGTCGTCGTCATCGTCGTCGTCGTCGTCCCCCTCCCACCCCATCTGGGGGATTGGGGAGGTGGGGCCCATAGGACCCATCCCATTTGGAGGGGCCGTGAAGCCTCGACGAGGGATCCATCATATATGCGAGGTAGAGGGGATTACTCATCGATTGCCATGCCACGGTCGACCACAATGTCCATCGCGGTGCTCCGTCTCTCTCCCTCCTTGTTGCCTCCTTCGTTCCTCCCCCTCTTCCACTCTCCCACCCGCCTCCCTCTCCTCCCTCTTCCACTCTCCTCCCTCCCTCCACTTTTCCACTCTTCCACTCTTCCACTCTTCCACTCTTCGTTCCTCCCCCTCTTCCACTCTCCCACCCGCCTCCCTCTCTCCTCCCTCCCTCCACGTCTGCATCGGCGTGGGTGCATGTCAGCGAGGGAGTTCGGAGCCTGACTTGGGGTGTGCTCGCGTCGTCGTGTGCAGCCCGACTCCTCGGGCATGGCCGAGACATCCCTCCCTCGCCGCCCCCGTGGCTGCGCGGACGGTCCCCGCCCGGTGGCGAGTAGGCCAACGCCTTCCAGAACCTCTCCTCGCCTGCTGTCGCTGCTCCTCCTTCGCCTCCTCCCCTTGCCCCCTCCCCTTCTCCTCTTAGTTGCGGTGGTGTAGTGGTGGACCCCTGGGCTGCTCGGTGGATCGAGCCGCCGTTCCAGGGCACCTGGCCCTGCAGCGTGTGTGCTCCCATCTTCCCCCTCTCCCGGGCATCTGGGCCTCCCAGATGGGGTCCGAGAAGATGGGGTCGGAGGATTGCGCCGCATCGCCGATGCATCGGCGATGCGGCTCGATGTAACTAGAGCCCGAGTTTCTCCACGCCGACGGCGCCGATGCATCGCCGACATCGCCGATGCATTGCCGATGCGGCGCGATCCTCCGACCCCACCGATTCGGACCCCAAAACGCTCCAAATCCCCATTCCGCGCCGGTGTCGGCACCCTCCCGCCCGCCCACGGGCGTTGCGGTATGGGGTGTGTGGTAAATTGGGAAGGAGAAGAAAGGTGCACTTGTTGTGTTTGAAAGGGCCCCCATAGGGCCCAAGAATGGGCACGAACGGTGCACGTTTCTCTCCCCCCTTTCTCGCGCCTCCCATGAATCTAGGGGACCCATTACAGAATTGAGTTACCCCGAATCGATTTCCCGTCGGCTCCTACGAAAAGTACGTAACATGCTTCCTAGACCTCGGAGCACCTTGCGCTTTTCTCGTAGATTCGACGGACACTGAGTTTGGGGGTAAACCAATCCCTTTCTGTCGATCCGCTGCTCGGAGGAAGCAACCCCCGACGCCCCAGGGCTGCGCGGACGGCACCCGCCTGGTGGCGAAGGTGCCGCTGGACGCGCAGTCCGTCCGCGCCGTGCAGAGGCCGCCGCCCTCCGGGGGCCCGCCGCCGCCCGCGCCGCGGGCCCCGCGGCCACTCGCTCCGAGGGCCGCCTCTCGACCCCACGCTCCCCGAAGGCCTGGCGTCTCGATTTTGTCGAGCGCGGCGTTCTCGCCCCGGCTCATCCAGTGTGCGTAAGGGTGTCGGGGGCGGAAAAGAGGGGGGTGATGACTAGGGGGGGGTGGATTTCATGGCGCGGGCCATGATTTTTCCTCAGATTTCATGGCGCCTCTTCTTATTTCATTACACCGCACTCACATCTATACCCCTGGGTGGGTGTATGTGCGGCCGTTTTTGCGCTGTCATGTGCGCGCATGTGCGCGGCATGTGCCAGTCATGTGCCAGGCCTGTGCGGCCCTTCTTGGATGGACTTCCTACTGTGCACGTCGTGCCCGGGCATGTGCGGGGGCATGTGCGCTGTGTTTTGATGTATCCATCATACGCACATGCACGCACAGTCCGACGCACATGCGCGCACATGCCTGCACATGCGGGAGGTGTTCGAGAATCGCAGATCTGTCATCGGCACATGCACGCACATGCCTGTGCAACCTCTCTTCGGGAGGCCGCGCGGGCCCGCACATGCACGCACATGCGGTGAAGCGCGCGGGCGCACATGCGTGCACATCCCAATGCACATGCACGCTCATGCCCTAGGAGCTGTCTGGGACCCCTGTGCCTCCAATGCCTCCTGGCCTTCGCAGAGCTAACCTGGGGCGTGCCAGGCCTTCCTGAAAGAGTTTGTTGTGCGTTTAGACTCGCCCGCTGCTGGCGGGGGCGGTTCTTCGCCCGGTTCGTGAGCTGGCGGTGGCGTGCCCTCCTAGTAAAACACTCTCCCGCGCGCCTTCTCAGCTCGGCCGGAGAAGCAGGGGTGGGGGGGGAGGAGGTGGAGGGGGGGGGAAGGAGGGGGGGCCGAGGAGGCGGACGCCCCCGGCTCGGCCGGCCCGCCCGCCTGTTCGGCTCGGCCAGAGAGAGGAGGAGGAGGAGGAAGAGGAGGAGGAGGAGGAGGAGGAGGAGGAGGAGGAGGAGGTGAGAGTTGCGAGGATGTCTCAGGCGAAAGTGGCTTGACGGCCCGAGCTCAGGGAATCTCGGAATCGCTAGCCTGGCTCGGCCACTGGCGAGCTCGGCCTGTGCGAATACTGTGCGTACCTGTGCGGGGCATGTGCGGGACGTGCAAGAATGCCGGGGCCGGCGTTCGTCTCCGGGCGCCGGCGCGTTCGCGTCCGGCCGGTTCCGAGTGAGACGTCGTCGGCAATCTGGAGGCCGACATGCTTTGACATGAGGTGATCTGGCCACCTTCGCCTGAGACATCCTCGCAACTTTGGTTTCGGAGATGCCCTGCCCCATGGTGGCCCAGCCACTTTCGCTTGAGACATCCTCGGAACTCTGGGTTTCGAGACGCCCTGAGCTGAGGTGGTTAGACCACTTTCGCCTGAGACATCCTCGCAACTCTGACCTCAGAGATCTCCTGCCCCATGCTGGTCAGGCCACTGTCGCCTGAGACGTCCTCGCAAGTCTCGATTCCGATATGCCCCGAGCTGAGGTGGTCAGCCACTGTCGCCTGAGACATCCTCGCAACCCTGATCTCAATGATGCCCTGCTCGATAGTGTCTCGGCCCCTTTCGCCTAAGACATCCTCGGAACTCTGGGTTCCGAGACGCCCTGAGCTGAGGTGGTTAGACCACTTTCGCTTTAGACATCCTCGCCCGAGATGCCCTCAGTTGAGGTGTTCAGGCCATTTTCGCCTGAGACATCCTCGCAACTCTGACCTCAATGATGCCCTGCTCCATAGTGTCTCGGCCTTTTTCGCATGAGACCCTCGCAACTCTGGGTTCCGAGATGCCCTGCCCCATGGTGGTCTGGCCACGCTTGCCTGAGACATCCTCGCAACTCTGGGTTGCGAAATGCCCCGAGCTCAGGTGGTCATGCCACTATCGCCTGCGACATCTCTGCGGCATGTGCGGGCATGTGCGTCCAAGCTTTCAGAGTTTTGCTTGACCGTGCATTCGACTGTGCGTCGGACGGTGTGGCATGTGCGCGCATGTGCGGCAATGCTGTTGAGGCTTTTGCATATTTGCATGGACATGTGCATGCGACTGTGCAGCATGTGCCTGCATGTGCGGCCCCTTCCGGACCACAAATTCAAAGTGAGCACTATAGAAGTGAGCGCTATAGAAGTGAGTCCGGTGTACGTCCCAGGCCCCCTCGCTGGGCCGCGCACATGCCGCCGGTCATGATTTGCACCCCCCCCCCTCTTGGACACCCCCCTCTTGGCCGCTCCCGAGAGTGACCTTTCGCCTGGAGTGGCTTTCGGTGCGGGCAGACGGGGCCCCCCTGATGGCCGAATGAGAGGCGGCAGTGGCGGCTTGCGCGCTCCGGTTCGCCCTCCCCGCCGCCCCCAGAAGTCGCACACCACAGGTCACGCTTGCCTCGGGTCGCTCTCACGCGTAGCCGAATCCGGGCCCCAGGACCCTCACATATCGATCTGGCTCGACAAATGGCGCAGAGGGACGGGGTCTAGGTCTCATGTCGTGATTTGTTACGGCCGATGCTTCAGTTTGTTCGAGACGTCGGATCTCGGGTCTAGAGCTCGGTGCTCTCGACATGGTTACAGAGATAATGGGTAAATGCAGAGACCGTCAATAGTTCCTGTCCCTATCGAACAGGGTTCGCTGTCGGCGCCGCTGCGGACGTTGTCAATTTGACACAGACGGCCGCCTGCCCAACAGCGGCCTCCGTCGGTTTTGGACAGCATGTGTTGTTGGGCGTCGTACCCACTCTTTCCGTATGGATTCCGGTCGTCTGTAAGAGTGACCTTCCGCCGGAGTTATTTTGGTGCGGGCCCGCCAAGGTCGCCGAATGCGAGGTGGCAGCAGCGGCTTGCGCGCCTGAGTTTGGCCCCCCCCCCTGGTGCCCCGCGAAAGCCGCGCACCACGGGTCACTCTTGCCCAGGGTCACCCTTGCGTGCAGCTCGCTCACTTCGTGGGGCTCGATGGCTCCAGGGGCTGGCGGCTCCGAACAGAAAGGGAGGCTCGGGCGTGTGGTCACGGGGGGGCGGGCGATGGGCGTGGGTGGACCGAGGGCCGCAGGAGAGAGACCCGAAGTCAGGCCATCGCAAACAAGGATCAAGGGGGCGTGGATTAGCGACGGGTCCCGTTTCCATGGGAAATCGCTGATTTCAGCCGCCGAACGAGGTGGCACCGGCCGTATTTTGGGGAGCCCCCGAGAAAGGAGCCTTGGATGGGCCCCCTGCGGCCCAGTATATCTGGTAGGCTCGCGTCGTGTCGGCCGGCGGCGTTCAACGTGCAACGCTGCCAGCGACATAGAATCGGTCGATGTTGAACGATCTGACGTTTCGGAAATTGCCGATCGTTCAAGGCGGAACGATCCCCGATGTGTCAGGAACCAACGCCGAAGTCGGTACGACACGAACCTGCCGTACACGAAAGGTGCAAGTTTGGTTTATTCCTCCCCCCCTCCCGTGTATCGTTCATTTCCCCCCAAAATACGCAACGCCCGAGAGTCGTCGGAGGCCAGAACACCAACGCTCCAGATGGCTGGGCCACCCAGTGGGGTCGCCGATTGTCCAAATGACAGGGCGAGTTGCGAACAGACGACAGGGGGCAACGTTTGCCGGGGATGGACTCAGAGAGGCCCCCCAGGGTATGGGAGCAGCCCCAGGGACAGCTTGCTCTCGGGCAGGATCAGGAGCCTTCAAAATCCCAGTCCGTTCGAGTCGCCAGCGAGCACAATCGTTGCTCAGTGTTTTGACCGTTTCGCTCGAAGTACTTTGGGACTTGGTTCGCAGCGCATGTCCGAGGGCACGTGGCAACGGGTGTGCGACGTTCGAGTGCACTGCATTTCGCACCCGGTTTTCAGAGTTATCAGGGGGCGCGTAAGCCCAGGATAATCTCAGGAGTGATGCATCGATCCCCCAATCGCCCACTCATCGCCGATAGGGGCCTGATTGCCCGCCAAGGAACGTGCGGATTCGCAACGGACTGATCTATCGACCTTGTACCGCCGATTCCAGCTCCGATTCCAGCTCAATGCCCCCCCCCCCCCCCAGAGCTCCGAGGAGAGGAGGAGGAGGAGGAGGAGGAGGAGGAGGAGGAGGAGGAGGAGGAGGAGGAGGAGGAGGAGGAGGAGGAGGAGGAGGAGGGGAGAAGGAGGAGGAGGAGGAGGAGGGGGAGGGGAGGAGGAGGAGGGGAGGAGGAGGAGGAGGAGGAGGAGGAGAGGAGGAGGAGGAGGAGGAGGAGAGGAGGAGAGGAGGAGGAGGAGGAGGGAGGAGGAGGAGGAGGAGAGGAGGAGGAGGAGGAGGAGGAGGAGGAGGAGGAGGATGGAGGATAATGAGGATATTGAGGATGCTGAGGAGGAGAATGAGGAGGAGGAGGAGGAGGAGGAGGAGGAGGAGGAGGAGGAGGAGGAGGATGCGGAGGAGTTGGAGGAGGAGGAGAAGGAGGAGAAGGAGGATGAGAAGGAGGAGGAGGAGGAGGTGGAGGAGGAGGAGGAGGAGGAGGGGGGGGAGGAGGAGAAGGGGGGGAGGAGGAGGGGGAGGGGGAGAAGGAGGGGGAGGGGGAACGGGAGGGTGAGGGGGAGTGGGAGGGGGGGCGGGAGGGGGAGGGGGAGGGGGAAGGGGGAGGGGGAGGGGGAAAGGGGGGGGGAAGAGGGGAAGGTGGAGGAGGAGGAGGAGGAGGAGCAGGAGGAGGAGGAGGAGGAGGATGAGGAGGACTCCCCTTCAAACGTTGCCCCTCAGGACTGCTGCGCTCGAAAGCGGTCGGGGCCCGGTTCACGAGCCCAGGTGCGTCTGAAGGGATCCCTGGTCTTTTTCGGGTCAGGCCTGTGGCCTGTGCCGTTGGGGCCGCAGAGTTCGGAGGCCGACTGGCGGGACCGGGCCACGAGCCGAGCCCGCCGCGCCCCCCTCGCCGTCCCCTCCCCTCGGCGGCGAGGTCCGAACCCTGCCCTCGCCGATCAACGACCCCCATCCCCATCCCCATCCCCTTCGAGACCCCCACCAAATTACCTTCGAGACCCCCACCAAATTACCCCTCCAGTTGGGGATACACCCCTCGAAGCCCCAAGGGAACGGCCTATATCCCCATCCAAAGGGTAGACGGGCCAGTGGGGCCCAGGCCACGCTGGGGATGGGGATCGGATAAACGATATTCAGATTCGGGCAACTCGATGGGAGGCGGGTTTGGGGCTCGGAATCCGACGAGCTCGCGGGCAAGATCTGAACCTCACGCCCCGCCTCCCGTCGACTCGGGAGGCTCGACGGCGCGGATTTGTATCGAGGCTGCACCGCGGTTCCACACCAATGTCCCCCCCCACAACAGAACGCTTCAGGTCCAGCAGGTTGTGGCTTTGCGGGCGGCTTCGCCTCGCGAAAGCAAGTTTTGGATTCGTTCGGCTTTGTGAATTAGGACCTCCTCTGGGTGAAGTCCCCTGGGGAAGCCTCGCTTCGGGCCTCGCGTGGAGACGGCGAGTCAGACTCGGAGGCCTCCGACTTCGACTGGGATCACGGGCTGCCCAGCTTTAGGCCCGACCCCAACAACAACCTCCTTTTCTGGCTACCCCCACGACAGAGGCGCGCATGGCACCACATTTGCCACGCAGGACAACGGGGTCGTCTTCACTGACGTTGGCGCGCAAGCTGCCCGCGTAAGGTCCCCCGTGAGCGCCCTCTGTTTCCAAGGCTGCGCGCCGTGCTGGCAGCCCGCGTGAGCCACCGCGTAGGGTCGCCATGCCATCTCGCGTAAGACGCCTTTGTTTTCGTCGCTCTCATGGCGGTAGCTGCCCCCTCCTGCTCCAGATTCTGATCAGTCGTTTCGCCTTCCAGTCGCGTGTCTGTTGTCCATCGACTCCGGAGCTGGCCTTCCTGCAGGCCCGCGCGCGGCGCGTCCGGCGCCCTGCTTGAGGCAAGCCAGCAAGATGGCCAAGCATCCTGAAGGACGCGTGGGCGGATTGGCAACGACGCTCGTGGTTCCTGCCCACCCTCGCTGTGGAAAACCCGTCGAACACAGCCTACATCAGATCGTCCTCAAAAGCAACATCGAACAATGCGAATAATCATGACTGGAGCCCCAGACCCCATCCTCCCTCCCCTCGCCCGTCGTCTCCCCTCCTGTCCTTCCCCTTTCGTCGTTCGCCTCTGCCGGGGTCTGACCGTGTGCCCTGAGTCGAGTACAGGTTGCTCGACATTGGGTCTCGATCGAGGAGTCCCCAGTCGACCGCTGGGGTGGGGACCTCCACCCCTTTTGCCGCCGACTTGGGCACAGTGCCCCCCTGCGCCCGCCGCTCCTGCTGCTCAGATGACGCGGACACGTGCAGATCCGCCGCCATGCCGCCGTTCTCCGAGCCAGCTCGGTCCGTGATGGCCCCGGGGCCGCCTTTCGAGCCTGGCGAGAATGCCCGCTGTGGAAGAAGTCGTGGCGCTCCGGCCAGGGCCCGTTCCTTGCAGAGGCGCCCGCGCCGCCCTGCCGAGGCTGGTGGACCACGCGTTCATCCCGAAGAAGGCGCCCGGGTCCTCGGTGTCCGCCCCGCCGCGGGCACGGGCACACCGCCGCGGCACGGGCACCGCCGCCTTTGCTGGCAGCCTCGCCCTCGCTGCAGCCGTCGTCGTCGCCGTCGCCGCTCGCGCCGCCCCCGCCGTCGTCGCCGTCGCCGTCGCCGTCGCCGTCGCCGTCGCCGTCGCCGTCGCCGTCGCCGTCGCCGTCGCCGTCTCCGTCGCCGTCAACGTCATCGTCGTCGTCGTCGTCGTCGCCGTCGGCAGTATCGCCTTCGTCAGCCAGCCAGCCGCTGGAGCCCTGCAACGTAGTCGGGCGCAAACGTTATCTCTCTCCCCCCTTCCTCCTCTCCCCCCCTCTCTACGTTCCGTTTCTCCTCGTTCCCTTCATCCTTGATCTTTTCCTCGCTCTCCCCCTTCCCTCCTGCCTTCCTCTCCAGAGTCCTCTTGGACCTCTGGAGACATTCAGGGGAACCTCCGGTGACGGGACGTGTCTCGCTGTCCTTTGCTCGGCCTCTGCTATTCCTCGCCAAGAGGTGGAGGAGAAGACATTGGAAGGGGAGGACGAGGAAGACGAGACCTTTGACGAACAGGAGGAGGAAGAGAAGGATATTCAGATAGGAGGAGGATGCGGAGAAGGGGCGGGAAGGACGCGGAACTCTGGAGCTCTAGATCGTGCTCTCGAGGCTCCCAGGTGCACAGGAAATGGAACGCGGAGCCTTGGATCCCCGAGCATTCGACTCGCATTCCAGGTCGGACCTTGCCCCAGGTTCTCCTCGCTCCTCCTCGCCCTCCTCCACATCCTCGATCCTCGCCCTCGCCTCGCCCTTCTACTAGCCCTCCCTGCTCACAAGCTCGTCCTCTTCCCGCTGACGTCAAGGCCTGTCTGGCTCCTCTCTTCCTCCTCGGCTGCAGCTACAGGGAGGTCCAACGCAGCATCGGCGCGGGCATGTCCGTGACCGAAAAACAGCCCAATCGGGTTTGATGCCGCCGAATCTGGTGGAAAACCAGGACCCCCGCAGCTGCGGATACGAGAGGGGGTCTTCGGCAGTCTGCGACGCTTGGAAACATATTTGAAGAATCCCGCCGCAGGCGCCCCGTGGTCTAAAAACACATTACATAACGAGCCCGCCGCAGGCGCCGATATATATATATATATATATATATATATATATATATATCCAGTCAAAGCAGGATGGATGGGCGGGTCGCGGTATTGGGTGCGGGTGGATCGCGAGCGGGTCGTGGGTGTGTCGCGCCGCGGGGGCTTCCTCCGCCCCAGTTCTTGATAGTTCTCCAGTCGGGTTCAACACAGTCAAGGCATCGAAATCAAGTCCATTTTGGGCTCGGGAGGGGCCCTTGTTTTCGGCCCGTTCCTCGGGTCCTTGTCAGGGAGCCTGTTTGTGGCCGAGGCTCGCCGTGGCCAGGCAAGCCCCGTCGTTCCTTACCTGGCCTTCCTTGTGAAGGGGGACAAACGTGGAGATGTGCATCAAAACTTGGAGGTCCGCGCGGATTTCCCGGATCTGCGCCGGACCCCTCTTAGCCCTGCAGCGCGGAGCGGAGCGCGCCAGGGGCGTCGCCGGAGGCGCCGCCACGGGGGTCCCAGCGCCGATCCGAGGAGTCCGCGCGGAACTCCGAGTGGTGGTTGTGTGTAGGTCACTGTGTGGGCCCCCATCATGGTAGCAAGGTGACTGTAGCCCGCTCGATCCTCGATGTAGGAAGGCGCCCAAAGTAGAGTGGGATTCGGGTATCCGCCGAGGGGCATCACGCGGCCTGCCGCGGAGGAGGAGGAGGAGGAATGAGGAGGAGGAGGAGGAGGAGGAGGAGGAGGAGGAGGAGGAAGAGGAGGAGGAGGAGGAGGACGAGGAAAACATACTTCCAACGACCGACGTGCCCCTGGGTTGCTTAACTCCGCGCGTCGCGCCCCACAGTGCGCGACGCGCGGAAAACATCGCACCCTCGCGTCGCCGCTCTCGGGACGGGCGCAGGGGCGCCCACTGTGTGGGCCCCCATCATGAGAGCCTCCCATCTCCTCCTCCTCCTCCTCTTCCTCCCTTCTCCTCCTCCCTCCCCCTCCTCCTTTTTCTCCTCCTTCCCCGCCTCCTCTTCCTCCCCTTCCTCCTCCTCCTGCCTCCTCCTCCTCCTCCCTCGCCCTCGTCCCGAGACCCGCGACCGGGACGGCTACGAGATGCCCCTGCGGCTGGAGGTGGTGGATGTTGTGAAGGTCCCCGCCGCACTGTCTCTCCCGCCGACTGGGCGTGTTCCTGTCTCTCGCCCTCGAATGGGGCTCGCTGCGGAACATCGAGCGGCAATCATCTGCGTGAGCATAAATTTTCAGAGTTGCGCGCGGATGTCTCGGATCTGCGCTGGGCCCCCTGGCGCCACCCCCTGGCGCGCTCCGCGCGTCAGGGAGGGGGTCCAGCGCAGACCCAAGAAATCTGCGCGGACCTCCAAAAGTGTGTGCCTATCCCGTTGTCACTCCTCAGGAGTAGGAGCCGCGAGTCCTGAATGGAGGAGAAGCAGGGGCAGCGCCGGGGGCCAGGGGGGAATCGGCTCACAGGGGAGACGCAGCGAGCCCCCCTCGCAGAGTCGTCGCCGACAGCGATCCGATTCCCCCCACCCAGCCCAGGAACTTGCAGATTTGCTCTCGGGGGTCTATTGCCGCTCTGTCGGCGATGTATATCGCCGATCTCAGCTCGATGTTTCCCCGCCTGAGCCAGCCCTCCCTGACGTTGCCCCTCGTATATCCCTCCGCGAAGTCCGGCAGCCACTTCTATTGTGTCGATTCGATTGGTTTCGACTTGGAGGATGCCCGTTTCGATTCGGTTCGAGTCCACGTCGCGATTTCGGCTTGGGTTTTCTTGCATGGGCCTCGACTCGGCACTGGCGGACTCGATGTTTTCCGATCTCCCTGCCGAGTTCTGCATTTTTGCTGATCCTGGCAAGTTGGCGGAAGTTCCTCTTGCGACACGACGGCACCCCCAGATACAATATTTCAATGCTCGCGCCAGAACTGGCGACTTCAACTCTTCCCACGGCCCTCGCCGCGATTCCACGATGCAGTATTGTCCACTGCGCCTGTGATACACGATATGTTCGAAGTGGAAAGAAGTACCTACACCATTTGCTCAGAGCCATCGGGGTGGCCCTCACAACGTGTTTCTCCTTCCTCTCCCCTCTCCCACTCATTTCCTCTGTGTGTCGCACTGTCCTTCTTCTTTTCCATCCTCCTGGGCCAGCTGTTGCATCGTGGAGCTCCCCTCCCATCAGCAGTGGGGTCGCTGGCAGTTCTCATGGTAAGTTGCACTGGAAAGGAGGGGGGAGCGAACTCAATCCGATTTTACCACGTCTGCCCCCGTCCCATCAGCAGTGGGGAAGCTGGCAGTTTTCATGTCGAGTTGCACTGGAGAGGGGGGCTGAGAGAACTCCACACGATTTTACGGCATCTGAGACGCCACGCCCTCGCGCTGCGTTTGCGGCAGGGCCGATCTCCGTCGCGCGCATCGGCGCCCGGCATCGGGCCCCGCCTGGCCCCGCTGCGCGGTTCTCGCTGCACGCACCGTGCTGCTCAAAACGTCCGACAGAGCGCGTTCTGTGGGCGTTTGGAGGGGGGGGCGGTTTGGAACCGGACCCCTACCCGTTTCCTCCTCCCCGACTTATCTCTTCTGGACGCCCGAAATGGGTACGGAAAGAATGGGTACGATGCCCAACAGCAGTTCCTGTTCATCTTGAACAGGACTCGCCGTCCGCGCCGCCGCGGCCTGTGTCCATTCGAGACAGAAGGCCGCCCGCCCAAGAGCGGCCGCTGTTGGTCTGGGACAACATTTGCTGTTGGGTATTGTGCCCATTCTTTCCGTGCCCATTTCGGGCGTCCAAATCTCTCTCTTTACTCGGGCCGACGCCGGCGTTGGCGGCGGCTGGCGGCGGCGGCGGGGGGCGTCGATGAAGACGACGACTTGCTTTTCTGGGCCGGCGCCGGCGCCTGCGGCGGCTGGCGGCGGCGGCGGGGAGCGTCGACGAGGACGACGGCGACGACGATGACGACGACGACGCTCAGCCACAGTGCCTTGGTTTCGGGTCAGAGCCCTAATGGATGCCTCTTGGGGTCAAGTCGGAGGGCTCCCGGGGGCCTTTGAAGAGCGTTTGTGAAGCCTCCTGGGCGCGGGCGTGGTGGTGGTGATGGTGGGTTGTTGTGGCTTTGGTGGTGGCGGTGGTGGTGGTGGTGTGGTGGTTGGTGGTGGTGGTTGTTGTGGTGGTTGTGGTGACAGGTTGTGGTGGTGGTGCTGGTGCTTGTGGCGGTGGTGGTGGTGTGATGGTTTCTGGTGGTGGTGGTGTGGTGGTTTGTTGTTGTGGTGGTGGTGGTGGCTTGTGGTGGTGGCGGTGGTGGTGCTGGTTATGGTGTGGCGGTTTGTGGTGGTGGTTGTGGGTGGTGGGTGGTGCTGGTGGCGGTGGTGGTGGTGGTGGTGGTGTGGTGGTTTCTGGTGGTCGTGGTGGTGGTGGCGGTGGTGGTTGTTGTGATGGGTTGTGGAGGTGGTGCTGGTGGTGGTGGTGGTGGCGGTGCTGGTGGTGGTGGTGTGGTGGTTTGTGGTGGTGGTTGTGGGTTGTTCTTGTGATAAGGTGTGGATTGTGGCGGTGGTAGAAATGAGGCGGTGGTTGTGTGGTGGTTTGCGGTGGTGGTGGTGATTGTGTGGTGGTTTGTGGTGGTGGTGGTGGCGTGGTGGTTTGTAGTGGTGGTGGTGTTTGTGGCGGTGGTGGTGGTGTTGTGGTAGATAGTGGTGATGGCGGCATTGGCGGTGGGTTGTTGTGGGTGTTGTTGTGGTGGTGGGTCGTTGTTGTGGTGGTGGTGGTGGTGGTGCTAGCTGTGGTGGTGGTGGTGGTGTTGTGGTTAGTGGAGGTGGTCGTTGCGTTCTTGTTTGTTGTGGTGGTGGTGATCGGCTGTGGTGTTGTTGGTGGTGGTGGTGGTGCTGCTGGTGGTGGTGCTGTTGGTGGTTGTGGGTGGTGGGTGGTGGTGGTGGTGGTGGTTGTGGTGCTGGTGGTGGTGGTGTGGTGGTTTGTGGTGTTGGTGGTGGTGGTGGGTTGTGGTGGTGGTGATTGTTTTGGTGGTGATGGTGGAGGTGGAGGTGGTGGTGGTGGTGGTCGTGGTCGTGCTTGTTGTGGTGGTAGTTGGTGTGGTGATGGTGGGGGTGACGTGGTGGTGGTGGTGGTGGTGGTGGTGTGCCCTTGGGTCTTCCCGCCGCCGTGCTTTGGCTTTTGGTCTGGTGGTGGTGGTGGTGTGGTGGTTTGTGGTGCTGGTGGTGGTTGTTGTGGTGGTGGATATGGCGATTTGTGTGTCCTCTCTGCGGCCTGTGGGGGGTTGTGGTTGTGGATCTGGCGATTTGTGTTTCCCCCCGGCGGCCTGTGGGCCCTCTCTGGTCATCGTCGCTGCGTTCCCGCCGTCGGCGCTGCTGGCCGCCGCCAGCACCGGCGCTGGCGCCGGCGCCAAGGGGGGGGGGTTGGACCCACCCCCCTGGACTCTCTCTGGTCATAGTCGCTGCGTCTGCCGTCGGCGCTGCTTGCCACCGACAGCGCCGGCGCTGGCGCCGGCGCCAGGGGGGCGGGGGGTCTACCCCCCCCCCCTCAGGAGAGGGGGGGGAGGGTTTGGGGAGGGGGGGTTAGGCGGGAGGAGAGTCCCCCTGGTTCTGATCGATGGCGCCGAGTGTTGGGAAGGGGGGCCCTCCCCCGTGGTTCGAAACGCGCCGCAGAATGTTCCCAAGGCAAGCGCCCGTGAAATGCGCTCTGTCAAACGTCCATGTCGATACGTTGCGAGTTGGCTCAACGTATAAGCCCACGTTTTGGCGAACGCATCGCGTCATACCTACGTTTTTAGTATACGTGTTGAGCTCCGTGTCAGGCTCCGTGTCAACACGTGTTTCGTGTTTTGTATGGGGGCAGCTACGGCGCGGTTAACTGTTAACCGAGGCGCTGAAATTGTGGGCGCCATGGCGCTGAATGCCGCGGAAGGCTGTTGATCATGGTCGTCTTGCTCCTGCTCCTCCTTCTGCTCCTCCCTCCTCGCCGCGCTCGCGCACTCCCACTGCCAACCCCCCCTGGTCCCCCACACAGTCGAGTATCCGGCCGACACGATGGGCGCACAGAGTTGCGACTCTTCCTTTCGGGTCGGACGAGAGGGGTGGAATTGGGGCACGAGGGTTCGACATGTGCCGCGTGCGGCCCGTTTTTGGGCCCGCCGCCGAACGCTTTCCCGTTGCAGGAGGCGCCAGAAGAACCAGAGACGCACAGACAGGGATGTAACGCTCTCACGAGTCCGCTGCGGCTCACAGGGTCCACCTCGTCCCGTCTCGAGCGAAAATCAGGGCCTCTCTCTGAATTGCTCTCCGCATGCCACCTCTTGCACGTTTCGTGGCCCCATAAAGGGGGCTCCACCGAAGGCCTCTTTCGCGCCGCCCGCGTGCGCCACCCCCACCCAGTGCAGCGTTTCGTGGCCCCGTCGGGATGTCCACCGAAAACCCCAGTGGCACCGCCCGCATGCGTCGCTCCCACCGCGTACAACGCTTCGTGGCCCCATGAGGAGCTCCACCGAATGCCCCATTGGCAACGCCCGCGTGCGTCATCCCTACCCAGTACAGCGCTTCGTGGCCCCATACGAAGCTTCACCGAAGGCCCCAGCGGCACTGGCCGCATGCGTCAGCCCCGCCCACTGAAGCGTTTCGTGGCCCCGAGGAATTCAACCAGCGGGCCCATTGACACCGCCCGCATGCGTCACCCTTTTCCCCCGCCCTCTGCAGCGCTTCGTGGCCCCATAGGGAGCTCTACCGAGGGCCCCAATGGCAGTGTCCGCAAGCCCTTCCCTTACACACTGCAGCGTTCGTGGCCCCATATGGGGACTCAACCGAAGGCTTCAGTGGCAGTGCCCACTGGCATGGTTCGCATGGCGGCCCCGTTCAATGTCGGCGCACTTCCCACACGTTTCGTGGCCCCATATGGAGCGCCACCAAAGGCTTCAATGTCTGCGCCCACATGCGTCCTCGCCATCACACCCTTTACGCGCTTCGTGCGCCCATAAGAAATCCACCGCAGGCGATACCCACACCGGCTATGCTCACAGCTGCGTATGCTTAGTCTCCTCGCGAGGATAATTTGATGGCCCAGGAGGTGGTCGGGCCAGCAAGTCGAGTTGATCCGACAACGGTTTTGATAAGTAATTCGTTCTCGGAGTGAAAAGGTTTTGGCGCTCTCTCCATATGGTACAGTGTACAAAGTTTTAAAGTCGTTCCCAAGACGACCCCAACAGACAAAACACATTGAGTTCCCATTGTTTGTTTGTACGTTTAGCGCGTCTTCGCCTTGTCAGCCATCCGACGTGCCGAGACTGCCCAAGAGGCCGCTCCAAGTCGGCCCCACACGGTTCCGAGACGGAACCGTCAAAACAGCCCACGACGGCGTTAAGTCGTCCCCAAAACGGTTTCTGGGGCTCACGAAGAATATCAAACAACCGTAAAGAGGTTTCCCAGACGTCCCCACATCAGCCTTGTCATATCTATCCGTATCTCCGTGCACCGTGCACGTCTCTGGGCGCTTGGGCGAGACATCCGCTGCCATGGGGCACGGGCACGTGCACGACACTGTGTTTAATGACTTGTTGCGGCGTGCGCAGCCAAATCTTGCGAGGGGGAGGAGGTTGCGGAGGAGGAGTTGGGGGTCACCTGTAGGAGGAGCAGCAGCTGCCACGGAGTGGCCATTGGCGTCTCATTTCAGACCAGTCGCCCAGCGGCGCCTGCTCGCATCGCCGCCGTGTTCTCCCCGTGCTTTCACACGCACTGTCTCAAGGCGCTTGGACGAGGAGTCATCTGCTGCAGTGGGGCGTTGGCACAGTTGGGAGCGCCAGGCAGGTCGGACATTCTGCACTAATAATTGTCAGCTATCGAATGCACCAAAAGGACCTTCGGACTGTTGACCTCAGCTCTGGGCTCCCGACGCTGTGGGCTCAAAAGCCCGCGCCCACGGTTGAGCGGATCGTAACATGCCGGGGAACGTGGAACGAAAAGAAGAGACAGGCAATAGATTTTGGATCATGCGCCGAGCAGGACGGGAGAGAAGATATGCTAGATGATGCGGTAACGCTAGATGTGGAAGCAGCCGTTCTGAGCATCGTGCGCAGCTACGTAACGTAGACAGGCGTTCACCCCACGAGGCATCGTGACATGGTCCCACTGTGTCGTGATAGTGTTTGATAGCGCCTGGGCATGCGTTAGAACCTCAGCGCGCGCGAAGTGCGCGCGTGGTTCTAGTATATATATATATATGTATATATACATATATATATATATAGTTACACATGTATATACCCGTTCGGGCTCTTACACGAAACATGTAGCAACATAATGAAACACGTACCGCAAAGTGTTGGACATCGTTTTTTCAACAACGCGCCTGCTCCTCGGGCCCCTCCGCGGGCGCGAGGTCCAGAATTCCGCGACATGGGGCGCCTACAGCAAAACCAGGGCTGCCATCGCCTCGCGCGTGCAGACGCTGAGGACCCCTGGGGAGCGCCCCGGCCGCAAGTCGTCGCCGCCGCCGCCAATGTCGTCGTAGTCGTCGTCGACGCGGACACGCACACAGTCGAGACTTCGCGGCTCCCTGGGGGGTTGCTAAATGCGCCATCGACCTCGACGTCCTAGTCCCTCCGTTTTCCGAAACTCGATTCTCGAAGCGGCTCTTGGACGTGTCCGGCGCCTTGTGGGGGCTTCTCGAGGCTTGTGTAGGCCTCCAGACGCCTGGCAGCACCTAGGTTGATTTCCAGAGTCAGTCTCCGCCATGTTTGAAAGAATCGATGCGGCACTTTTTGCCATTTTTGGCCTGTGGGAGCCCTCGTCGGGCCCCGGGACCAGAAAACGATTCAGGATGATGAGCTGGCCCTGGGAGGGCATCGATTGAACTGCGACGTTTATTTTCTCTGGTCGTTTCTTGTTCTTCCGGGACTGGCGACGACGAAGACGACGACGGCGATGACGAAGACGACAGCATCTCACACACGCCCAAGGGTCGGGGGTTTCTGGTTTTGATGATGTTGCTGATGCTGATGCTAATGCTGATGCTGATGCTCATGCTGACTGCGTCGACGAGTTTCAAGCTGATGATGATGATGATGATGATGATGATGATGATGATGATGATGGTGATGGTGATGGTGATGGTGATGATCATGATCATGATCGTGATCATGCGTATTAGTTTGATTATGACGATGATAATGACGCTGGTGATGATGATGGTGGTGGTGATGATGATGATCGTGGTGGTGGTTGTGATGATGGTGATGATGATGATGATGATGATGCTGATGATGATGATGATGATGATGATGATGGTATGAATGGTGCCGATGACGATGTTGATAACGAGATTAATCTTGACAATGATCATGCTCCTGACTCATTCTTCCCTTCGATCCAGCGGTCGCACTCGCTTGTGGAAGCACCCCCCCCGGCATGCGCTAGAACTGAGCGCGCGCGAAGCGGGCGATGGTTATAGTATGTGTACATATATAAATATATAGATATATATATATATATATATATATATACATACATATGAACATACACCTGTGTCTGTGCATGCACGCGCGGACACCCCGCAGTGGATTGCTTCTGGGCAGCAGGGGAGGATGGCGGTACATAGATGATAACAGAAAGTTGCCGATCTCATTTATACACCGCCACCCTCCCTGAAGGCCCCTGGGGGGACTCGTCGGCGGGTGTCTCTGTCCATGTGCTCCTTATTTTAGCACCAATTCGGATATCTCTGGGGCCTGCATCTCTCGATCATCCTCAGGACGTGCGTTGATCCAGTGCGTTTCCACCGTTGAGAGCACCCTCCCGCCTATGCCAGCCCTCACTTTACCGCGTGCGTCGCGTTGGCGCGCCTGAGTGGACAAGCACACATTGGCGACCGCACATTTTTCCAGACATGCGGTGTCCTGACCTTTTCGCTATACAGTCACCCGAAGTCCCGACCCTTTTCCCAGGGCCTGTTTTTCACACCTTCTGGGACCTGGCGAGGGCCCCCGAGAGGCCGAAAACGGCCAGCAGTTCCCGTCATCATTTTTGTCCGACGCCGGCATGTCTGGGTTTTGGGCGGTCCAGCAAGTCAACCTCACAATCTGCCTCTCCCGCTCGTCCGAGGGCCGGGCCACGGCTGGAGGCCGCCCACGACATCAGGTACGGGATGGTGGTGCTCCCCCGTTCCCCCCTCACCACCGCCCTCTTCCTCTCTTCCGAGGGCCAGGATTCAGAGCGTGAAAAACCTACCCCGCTTTCGCTTCCAGGCAAAACCAAGCAGTACCACGCGCCTCCTCGTCAAGCGGCCTGACCAGTACAGGCTGCAATTTGGCATCGTTTGGTATCTCTTGGAAGCGAGGGTGGTCAAAAGCGAGGTCGGTTTGTTTTCCCCCTAAGGATAGCGACCACCAGACCGCCAGCAGCTGCTGGGCCCCCCCGGCGACCCGTGCAGCTCCACCAATAGACCGGCGGCGCGCCCAAGGGGGGCAGGTGAGAAGGAGAAGGCCTTCTCCGGATGCGGCGGGGCTTCTCAGAAGCCCCCCCCGGCCTTCCCAGAGGTGCTCGGCAACGTCTTGGAAACCCGTCAGAAGGCCGCAGGCCTTCCGAGCCCTCCGGGAAAGAAGGCCCGCCTCCTCTCCCTCCCCGCCCGGGCGCGCCGCCGAACAGAGCGAATGCCGCCTGGTTTTTGAATCGCAGGCGATTCCTCGCCCCCTTACGCCGCCTTTTCCACTATAAATTATAAATCAATCCGCGCAGACAAGGAGAGAACCTCGGGGATGCACCCCAGGGGGGCTGAACGGGCACACCCCCTATCGAGGATGCACGCCCCCTTCTCCTGTATCCCCGAGCCGGGCCCCACACGTCTGGTCACTCCAAAGACCCCACGAGGCCGGGGATGGATGTCGACGTGTCCCCTGCCCGCCCGGCCCGCCGGCCCCGGCCTCCCGCCTGCGAATTCGCGGACGCCTGCCTGCCTGCTCCCGCCTCCCCCCCCCTTCGCCGAGCAGCAAAGCCTGCCCGGGAGCAGCGCGGAGCTTCCAGTGTCTCTCCGCCTGTCTGGGTGCTCTTTTTTTTATGATGGAGAGCTTATCTGTGTTTGATTGTGTTCTTTTCGTCCTGAAAAGAACATTATGGTTTCACAGTCTCTCCAACGACACGGTTTTTGTAACTCTAATGTTCTTCGTGCCAGGCCAGATTGGACCGTTTGATGAGGCCCCGGGCCGCCCTTGGGCGGCCCGTCCGTGGACAGCCGGCACGACGCGAGCATGCTGTGCCCGGCATCCTTGTCGGCATCCAGGCAGCTCCACGACGGCCACAATCCCCCTCGAGACGGCCACACGGTGCCCCGGGGACTGGGCCCCGGGGACTGGGTGCAGACGGCTCCAGAATGTCCCCGATGGGCCCCAAGAGGCACGATGGAATTTCGAAGGTGAAGTCCAAGGGTGCCTTCTGCGTACGAGACCACTGAGGACCGTTGGACCTTGCCGAGGCGACGTCGGTGTCGGGTCCTCGGGCCGCTCCCCGCGGCCCTGGGCACATCAGAGGCGGCCCTCGGCCTCTTCCCGGGGGGGGGGCTCGCCCTCGAGGGCTCCCGTCGGGGGGCTGTGCCGCTTGGGGGGCAGCGCCGCTGGGGGGGGGGAGATGGGGTTAGTCCTCCTCCTCCTCGTCCTCCTCCTCGTCCTCATCCTCCTCCTCCTCCTCCTCATCCTAGGCTGCTGTTTTATGGCATCGAACCATACACCTGCCGTTTGGAGTCTGCGAGACGCAGAGACATAATCCGTCGCACGCACTCGCGAAACACTCAGAAAGCCCAGGTAGCAATACGGAAGTTTCTGGACACGGGCTCAACAGACATGGGGCAAGCGATCTAGGACGAACCAGGTCAGGAACCGTTCGCGCAGGCCGATAAGTTCCACCAACATGTTTCAAGCTACGCTCAACTGCCGTCTGTGTGAACGTGGATTCGCATTACGTTAGTTGCTCCCCACCGTGATGTCTGACCGACGACGCCGCCATGCTTGAGACCGCCGAGGGCTGGCTTGCAGGCCGAAGGCCCTCGGCGGTCTCGAGCAAATACTCATAGACATTGGAGACCTGCATGTGTCTGACATCATAGTACGACGTGAACACACATATCCAAGGAATGGGGCGCATGCAGCAGTATAAATATGGACGCAGGTTGGTGCCATTGATTGCAATGGTCGCACACATAGAACAGTTTGTTGGCAAGCCACAGTGGAGCTTGCCGAGAGGGGAAACAGTTCGTTTGCGAGGCCTTGCCTTCCGCGGCTACCCCACCCCCTCCCTTCCCCCCCTGGTCGGGGGCCTCGGCTGTTGGATTGCCCCTTTCCTTTCCTCGGCTGTCCATCCTCTCCTGTGCCCTTCTTGGCCCCTCGGCGTCTCTGCCGCTCGGCCCCATCTCGGGACGGAGGATCCCGCGGAGAAATAGGAGACGGCGCAACATGCAGTGGCCCGCGAGGGGGGAGGAGGCGGGGGTGGAGGGGTGCAGGCGGCGGAGGAGGAGTTATCTCGTGGAGCTGGCGGTTGGCCCGCAATGGCCTGGCCTTCCCGAGGGGGCGTGCGCTGCGCGAAGGCAGCAGCGCCGACCTCCCTGCTTCTGCTGCTTACGAAAGCGACCTTTGGCAGGGTCTCCCTGCCAGCGGGGGACCCAGCCTCCCTGGAGTCAACCAGGAACTTGGGCACCCCGGGCATGCCCCCAGGATCAACAATTCAAGAGGCCTGTTTCCATGAAAATCACCCAGGGGTCAGCTTGCGAAGTGTTCAAGCTCTCTGCAGCTAGAGACAGACCCTCAAGGGCCTTATCCTTTTCCTTATCTTACCCTCCTCCTCCGCCCTCGCCTTCTCCTCTCCCTCCTTTCCTCCTCCTCCTCCTCCTCCTCCTTCTCCTCCTCATCCTCCTCTCCTCCTCCTCCGCGTCTTGTGGCTTTCGTAGGGCCCGGGACAGCCCGGGGGGACTGCGTATCTGGGCGGCGGCCCCCCAGGACCCCCCCCAGGACCCCCCCCCAGGACCCCCCCCCGGCGGGGAAGTGATCAAAGGGAAGGGGGTTTCTTTCGACTCTGCTACGACTTTGCTCAATTTCGTGTTGGCTGGCGCGCTTTGAGGAAGGCCCCGAGAAAAGAGACGGGGGACGACGGAGACGACGATGAACGGAGACAAGGAGGAGACGACGAAGACGGAGGCGACGACGAAGACGACGACGAGGAAACCCCTCACACACGCCTGCAGGGTCGGCGGATCTCCCTGAGCCAGGCCCCCCCCCCTCAAGCACCCGCTCAGCTCTGCAGGCCGCTGTTCCCGGCAGTGCGCACCGCCACCACCGAAGGCGCGCTGATCGCCACGCTCGGCGACGTGGACGCCAAGGCAGGGCTGGGCGAGAATCGGCGGAGGGAAGGGTCCCAGTGTCCCAAGCTTCGTTCCAGTTGTCCGTCGCCAAGGCAATCGTGACACGCAAGTCTCCTGGCAAGCTTCCCTCCAAGGGCCATGAGAACCATCATCAGAACCATTCGCCTCCCGACAGGTTTCCTTCCATCACCCCGGCTGGGACGCGTGAGTTAGCTCTCCATTCGTACCCCTCGAAACCCGAGGGAGACGGCACCAATCCCGACCTAAAGGGAGGTGGGAGGGGAGGGGGGAAGGTCGGCCAATCGCGTCCCCAGTGGCGTGTGGGAATCGGTTTATGCAAGTGGCTAACGCCATTCCGCCGACCCCGCAGGAAGGAGGGAGTGCATTC